TTCCTTCACTTCCACAAGCTACTATGTGCAGTCTACTGAAACCCAAAGGTACTTCTACACGGATGATGTGGTGGTGCCAAGTGCTGACCAGCCTGACGCTGCTGATGATCATGTGTACTTGCCCCTCCAACAGGAACTTTCTGGCCAGGCGGCTTGGGAAGGTGACATTCCTCGTCGCCGTTTGCGCGAAAAAACGGCAATCCCACAATTGTCCAAGCTGGGCATGGAGGGGGAGCCTTGTGCCTACGTCCAGAAGTGGCTGTGTCAACACCGTGATGCTTTTGATGCTCATGGCCCGAATGATGAGAAGTTGTTCACAACCGAATGGAGCAGCGACAGCTGGACCATCGAAACACCCTCAAGAACATCCTCAACATCCTCAAGTGCTGGTGGGAGGGGCCCCCCGGGCGGAGAGTTGGGTTTGTTGGGGGTGGACAGCCTTGGAGGAGGGGATTGGGAGGAGTCGCCAAACAACTGGGCTGGTGGCTCATACCCAGTGGCCTCAATGCAAAAGATCAGGCCCGGGGGAGTTCCGATCACCAAGCTGCAGCTTCTTCGCTCTGTGCAAGCGAACTTGGCGGAGTATGTGAACGAGGAGATCGGGCATGGGGACGTCACCAATGGTGAGCAGGGCTGGTATAGTGGGGTGCTAAGCCAGGCCGTGTTGCATAAGGTGGAAGCTGAAGAACAACTCCTACAAAACCATCAAGATCAGGTGCAAGCATGTAACAAAGAGATGGAGGAGGAGTTCTTGGTCACGAAAACTGTGAGCACCAAGGAGGTGATGGACGATTTTGAGAATTGGGTTCCGGCCATTCAGGCTGAGTACACGCAGCTCGTCCAGACCAAGGAAGCGGTGCAACAGATCACGAAGAAGGCCTTGCAGGCCAAAGCTGAGAACGAAGGCAAGATCATCGAAGTGCTTCCGGCAAAAATGGTCTTCACGAGAAAGGCCGGAGCTGGTGTGAGAAGGGCAAGAGCTGTTTGCTGCGGAAACTACTCAGAAACCCGCTTCAGCGAAGATTGCTACGCTGGAGGGGCTGATGGATGTCAAGTCCGTGCTTTACTCCGCACTGCAGCTTTGAAGTCTTGGTCGGTGGCCGCCACTGACATTCGTGTGGCTTTCCTCAACGCTCCAAGAAGGGAAGATGGAAAGCTGGTCGCCATGGAAATCCCGCAGGTGTACAAACGCCTTGGTCTTGCCCGTGAAGGTGAAGTTTGGCTGGTCAAATTGGCGATGTACGGTTTGACCACGTCGCCACGGGATTGGTCTCAATATCGGGACAGGACTCTGCCATCGGTGAGCTGGATTCGAATGAGGGAGGACAGAAAGGTCCGTGGCCACTTTCTCAAGACCGCCGATGAGAATCTATGGCGCTTGGTGGAGGAGGATGTGGTGTCCGGTGAGAGCTACTGGACTGGCCTCATGTCAGTCTACGTAGACGACATCCTGCTTACCGGTGAGGAGCATGCTGTATCATCGGCCCTGACCTCATTGCAGGCGATATGGACCACATCAAGTGTGGAGTGGGCATCATCACAAAGCCCGGTCCATTTTTGTGGCTTTGAGATCAAGTTGGATGAAAAAGGAGATGGCCTCCATCTGTCTCAGCAAAAGTATGAGCAGGAGATCCTGACTCGATGGAAAGTGAAGGAGAGTTCGACCTTCCCCAACTTCAAGATTGCGGAGGAGGACTTCGAGGCTCAAGAAGAGACGGACATCAGACAGGTCCGTGAAGCACAGGCCCTAGCAGGATCTCTCCTATGGCTTTCGACAAGGTCAAGACCGGACCTGGCGCTGGGAGTGGCGATAGTCAGCCGCATGATGACCAGGAATCCCAAGAAGGCGATTGAAGTGGCCCACAAGTTACTAGCCTATGTGAATGGCACTCCTGGCGATCTTCACTACGCCGGACAGGTGCATCAGGTTTGGGGGGCTCGTGGCCAACTCAAGATTCCCCGACATGGGAAACTCGTGGAGGTTTTCGCTGACATTGCCTACGGCACTGGGTCAGGGCACCGAAGTACTCAGGGCTTGGCTATCTACTTCGCTGGAGCACCCATTGCCTGGCAGAGCTCTTCGCAGCCTTTCGTGACTCACAGTACAGCTGAAGCTGAATTAGTGTCATACTGTGAGGCCCTGACAGCTGGTCGTGCCACTGAAGCACTGCTGTGTACTATGTGCGGGGAGGAGCTGATGAACAACAGCACCTTTGACCGGGTCATCTACGGTGACAACGCCGCTGCAATTGCTCTGGCCCATGGCAACAGTGCAGCTTCCTGGAGGACAAGGCATTTGAGGGTAAGGTCCAATTTGCTCCGGGAGGCCCTGGAGAACAGCAGCTCGTACCCTGGAGGAGCCTGGAAGCTGATGCACCTTCGTGGCACAGAGCTTGTGGCTGATGGACTCACGAAACCGCTCCTGGGTCAAAGTTTTCAGAATTTTCTGTGTGATTTGGGCCTCAGGGTGGAGGAAACTAGTGTGAGGGTGCTTGGGGCGGAACGTCGACCTCCTCAACTACAAGATCAAAATGGGGCTGATCGGCGACATCCTCAAGTACCAGATCAAATGGGGGCACTTCGAGCCTTAGCAGCGGGTAGCGTGCTCGCGCATGTCGCGGAGGCGCAAGGGGATGTGGAGAAGGACTCAACCATCGGGGCCTTGTGGGTCTGTGGTTTGATTTTGATCGCCATAGGGGCAATCTGGGTTTGCAAAGCTGTATGTGCTTCGGCGTGCTGCTGCTTGCGGCGATTGCAGAAGGTGATCATCGAGCCGGCTGGTTCGCAGAGCCATAGCGAAGGGGATGAGACGGATGCCACTCCGACCCGGCCACAGAGAAGGAGATCGAAGAGCCAAGGTTCAGCGGTCATGGATGAAAGCTCTCCTTCGACCGAAGGTATGGATGAGTCAGGAACACCGCCTGAAGCTGAGTTGCGCTTGAGAAAAAGGGGATCAAGGGCGCGAAGCGCGGAAGGCTCTATGTCCAGGCCGAGCTCTACGCCATTGACATCGAGGCGACAGTCGGGCTCGGCAAGCAGGTCTTTGTCGCGATCCAAAGGGTCGCAAGCCAGCGCGACAGTGACCGATGCAGTGAACTGCGCGGCTGGTGGAGCGGAAAGGGCAGCGATGAGCGCTGAGATGGCCGCGGCAGCAGCTGGGCGTGCAGCCGTGAGCGCTGAGCGAGCTTCGATGCTCTTGCACCAGGCCTTGACAGGCCCTGTGACAAAACAGTCACCTTCGAGGCACAGTGGAGTGCCCATGAATCCATGGAATCGGCTTCAGCAGGAAAACGCTGGCCGAGGATGGACAAAGGACAAAATGCGTGCAGAGTATTTTCGGGCAAAGTGCCACAATACCCTGCCTTGAGCCACGGCATTTTGCCAAGAAGCTCTCCACGCAGTTTCGCTTCCGCGAAAGGGGGAGTCTGACGGTGAGACCACCGCGCACAGGCATTTTTTGTCCAAGAAGAAAAGGTGTGAGGTTTTTGTCGAGCCTAGAAAACGAAGAGGAACGGCAAGAGAAAAACAACGCATCCCGATTAGGGAGGCAAATCTTCTTGCTAAGCGTGAGAGAGTGAGAGAATGAGAGAATGACAGAAAGTGCTCCCAGCTATGAAACGAGCGTCCAGGGACACCATGGAGAGGGGTGTACCTTGGTCTTGCTTCCAGCGACACCCAAAGAGCGGAAGCATCACACTGAGGCTCCGGCGCCCAGAAAAAAGTCAGACCGCTCTGGTCACCCTGTGCCATGCTAAAATGGCGGGCAGCTTTGACCGCTGTGGTCACCTGATCGCGTGCTCGAAAGCTGCCTGCTCGAACTCAATAAATCGTCAAGCCTTGGCAAATAACTTTGGCGTAAGCCTCCTTCGCCCGCAGTGGGCACGTGCGTTCCCGAGCAAGGGGAACATGGACAAACCCCTGTTCGACGGGGCCACAGGGGACACTCCTCGGGTGCACCCTGGGCTGGCATGAAGCCAGACTGAGAAATTGCGTACTGACATGAAGGCGGTTTGCCATCCGGCGGCCTAGGTGACCGAAATCCTAAGAGGTCAGGTGGACACGAGTAGGTTGGAGGCCATCGCTAGTAGTTGGAGGCCATCCCAATCAGGTTGAAGGCCCTCGCCACAGGTTTAGAGGCCTACCTGAAAACCTAAACACCTCCTGGAACAACATCAGGTACATGAACCACCATAACACAAACCAAGGGACCACAGCAACCAATCAAAATTTTAACTACAGCAGGTACGTTTTCACCTCCCTGGTGTGCGGTCTTCGTTGGCCAGGACGCGCACCAGGGAGTCCTGGCCCCCTGCTCCAAGAACAAAAACAAATGCAAGTTCAACGGAATCCCTGTGACTCCAAGAGTGTCACACACACACACACACACCGAGGCTCCACCAAACGAGGGGTTCGTGACCCGTGCTTACAAACATTTACACATATAAGTAGAAATTAGAATATACACATTTGTTGAATGCCACAACAACGTGTGGATGGTCAATATGGAAAAATCCTGACAAATCCAACAAGCTCCAATTCACCAGCATGTCTCCTGAGCGGCATGGGTCCGAGCTTTGTTGATCCCCACTTTGCAGGCTAGAATCCAGCACGTTCCTGCCGCTCCCTTGGAGCGTCTTACCCCCTGCCCTTCTTAGTTTCTTTCTCACCCCCAACAGTCTTTGACAAGTGCTTCTGCATTCGACTAGGCATGATTGTCCTTCTTGCAACAGCAGGAAAGAACATTAAACGAAGGGCACCACTGAGAATCAACCCCAGGCTCAACAGGTCAATTCATTGATCCAACACAAAGCGATTTGGTGTCCAACAATATCGCCACTGCAACCCCAACAATAGTGCCTAGCTCGAGGAGACAGCAAGTAAACACCATTGAGCACATTTCATCTATGGAAAGTCCACATTGACTTCCAAGAGCTTGCACAATTATTTGAAATTCTTTGACCACATGCCCTGTTTTTTTGCCATCAGCCCACTTCAGCGGCCTCTTGAATCGTTGACTCTCCTCTGAAACGCGACGGAAACGGCCTCGCTGCACTTTTTGCAACAGCCTTCAGAACAAAAACTACAGTAAACGTTCGCTACTAAGAACAAGAAGCTACTAGGGGCTCCTGGCCTTACTACTAGGAACAAGGACGCTACTAGGCTCGCTGCACTTTCGCAGCAAAAAATGTTAAGCATGAATTGTTCAGACTTGACGTGTCCAAGAATGTCCAAGACCGAGCATTTGTTTCGCATGCTTGTTGGTCGGAGAAAGTGAGTGTGGGGCCGGCCAGTCTTCCGAAGCAAAGCTCGGTTGAGTAGCCGATAGTAAGCAAGCATTGGATGATACCAAACCTCACAAGGGAAAAGGCAAGGTGATGAAAGAGCAAGGGGGTGCAAAAAGAATCCGCTTTCTGTATCGTATAGCTGTATAACGTTCTCGCAGCCCTAGTAAGACCTACCTACAGCCTACAGCTTTGTTATGGTTTCTTATTGCCAAAGAAAATGCCAGGTGGCACTGTCTCGTGCTGGCAAAATATGCCGCATAGCCCACGACATCACGAAGGTAAGTTCCTTGCAGATCAAGACTCGCGCGACACCACCCGTTGCCTGCTGGTTCGACACCAATGTTTGCATCCATGAGTGCATCCAAGCTGCTCCAGCGTCATCTACCCACACTTCCTTCCCAATTTGCCTCGGATTCTCACAATATTGATGAATCTTCCGAGAACTGTCGTCATGCACCGACCTGTACGCAATGCTTGGCGGCAAAGTAGGTACAACATCCCGGGAAGCCACCACACGAAAGGTCTGGGCAAAAAGGACAAAGCTCTGGCAAAGCATTGTCAGCATCGTTACTCATGTTCTGCAAGGGTTGTGTGGCACACTTGCCTGGGGGACTAGAGCATTGTACACGCTGCGGAATGCCGCATTGCCTTTCGGATCCAGCTTGTTTGAGTTGCCCAAAAACAACAGCTCGAAAAGAAAGCAAGAGTATCGGCCAATTAGGATTGGGTCCTGCTTGTTGACTGGGTTCTTGTCACTAGTCTGTTTTGGTTGCGTGTCAAATTGCCTGCACGCGGAGCTCCGAACGTGTACACCACAACGGGTCGATCAAAGGGCAATGACCTGTTCAGCTCGAGGAGGCTGCACAATGCAACTCTTGGCGTCGCACTCTTAGATTTATACTTGTGAGTTGTAGAATTTCTTAGTGCTCAGGCATTCGGTGGCATTCGGCGGCGTTCTTGCATGAACTATAGGAATTGTGTTCTTCCACCTTCCAGGTTCCTCTGGCGCTGCACTTAGATCCAACATCGGACGAGCTCACTTTCCCCAGAGCGATATATACTAGAATCACAATGAGCTTGAGGCGCAAAAAGATTGGCTATTGCACCACCCATAGAATGGCCAGTGGCCTTGCAAACACCAATTTTTTCAAGCAACCTCCGTACAAAAATGAAACTGCCTCAGATCTGACTTGCTGCCGTGTGTCAAAAACTTTGGTAGTCACACCCAGCTTCTGCCAATGGTCCAATCGAGCCTGCCGAAGTGCTGGAGCTAAGAACAAGAAAGGTTTCCGCAGACCTTGCCTTTAAGATTGCAAGAACATCGGAACGAATAGCCCCATATGCCTGTCATGTGCAAGGAGTCAAAAGCAATATCAATAGCATGGTTCAAGCACAGAAGTTTCTGTCAGGCCTCTGCAAAGCCTCTGTGTACACGAATATTCTCTAAGACCTTCAGGCGACACTTCTTCCAATACAAACTGGCTCATCGATTTCAATTGTCGTCTTTCGCTTTGAGGTTTCAGATTGTTCTGCCTTTGCTCATAAAAGCAAATCATTCATCTGAGTCCTGAATCCTGGATCATCTTGATGGTGTTTCACGTCTTTGTATGCCACTCATCTCATCAGTTTTCTCCTTATTCATCTTCCCATCCAGTTTACCCAGTTGCCTCCAGGCTAAGCTCTTCATCATCATCTTCGTCAGAAGGAACAAAAGGGAAAAACAACTTCGTGCAACACCTCAGAAAATGTGGGCCCACATTGCAAAAATGACTGGTATATTGCACAAAGCCTCTACTGTCCTGATTTCCGTATGAAGGTACAAACAGTACCAACATTGGTCAAAGTGAGTGTCAGTGTCGTCCAACAGATTCGCAGTGCTGCGCAACACGACTGCTTCAGCTACGCACTGTGCGAGGAGACGACAACATCCAGGCAGGCCGGCATCCTCTTGTCCTGAAATTTGTGTTTAGACTCAGACTATCAAAAATCGATATTCATTGACATTCTACGCATTTCTGTACCGGTGTAGCCACAGCAAATTGTGCACTGGCACCTCCTAGGCTTGCTGCTGAGCCTGTTGTGCTTTGCAAAGGGTCCTTGGATTGCAGTGTGTGTGTGTGTGTCCAACCCTGGACAAAGGGTTTTCCACCACCACTCTTTCTACCCTACATGAGCAGGGGGGCAGAGAGGACTTGCAAGGCTCTGCCCAACGAAGCTCCTTGCAAGATCCTAGGATGCGGAAGCTGATCACTTCCGTGTACCTGCTCGTTCTTTCACAAGCTGTTACTCCACTTTTCCACTTTTTGTTTCATGGTTCTTCACGATTTCCACCCCATAAACATTCGTCCCCAGCAGCTGTGCAGCCGGTTCGCGTTTCCGCCGCTTGCGAGTGCCAACATTGTTCAACACTACAGTTTAAGCTGACCTTTCCACCTTGCTGTTCCATCGCCTTCCTTCCCAACGAGACAATTGCGTTAACTGAAAACCCAAGTTCGAAGTGTGTCCTGCTCAGCCGTCCCACTCGGGTGCTGAGTGTGATCCCCGTCACAGGGGCGCCGATCTTGCATGGGAAAGCAACCACCCCAACGCACCACCGCTCACTGGACTCTCACAGGAAGGCACCGACACCCTCACAGAATCAACTGCCACACCGGCCGCCGGGCCAAAAAACGGTTCTTGAAGAATACATCGGATTTCAGCTTTCAGATTTCAGATTTCAGATTTCATTTCATGTCTTCAAATCATGTGTGTGTTTCCACGTTTTGCTATATTGATGCCGTGATTCTTTCATCGACAGAACTCAAGGATGGGCATTACAGCTCTTCAGCTTAATTCGAAATGCATGAATACACACCTACCAACAAGCTCACATCTAGCACCACCTTACAACATACTCACCATCGACACCAGAGATGACACCTTCAACAACAACAAGACAATACAACTCGGCACTTCTCCGCTGCCTTTTTGCTGCCGCGCCGCGCCGTGCCATAGCTACGACCACGACATGCATTTTCCGTGGCCCTACGCTCACACCACGCCACCACCATTACCTACCACACAACCTCAACCCACATGGCCGCTGCCACAGCCATCAACTGCACCCACCTTTCCCACGACACAACCATCGGCATACCCTCACCCACAACCACAACCATTTCAACCACCACCTTTTTTGTCCAACCCTACCGCCACTGCACTGACCTACGGCACACCATCCACTTGGACGTTTGTGCAACCATGTCACGTGCCACCGCAGCCCACACATCCAACTCCAGTCTTTCCGACAGCAGCACCTCCCCCTTCATACCTGTTACCACCACAACATCCCACACCACCGGCCGAACTTCCTCCCCCCACTACACTGACCCATCCCCCTCCAACACAGCAACAGACTGCGATTGCCAATCATCCATCCACAGACCCCCAATGCGCCATCCCCCAGGGCGTTTGGCAGCCCTATTCAGCTTTTCCCCCAGTCACACAGCCTCCACTCCAACCGTTGCCCCCGCCACCACCTCCACAAACCATCAACGCCTCAACACCAGTCCAACCTCCACTCCAACAGCAGCCACCGTCGGATCCAACACCACCAATCCAACCCATCCCCACGACTGCCCCGGACACTCCATTGCCGGTCCAAAACACGACCCCTCCAGCTACCGTATCCCAACATTCTGCATCCCCATCGCTAGTATCAGCCACACCAGCGCCCGGATCTTCACTACCTGCACCAGACAAACCTGACACCATTGCCTCACCAGCACCACAACCACCTTCCCCGCAACCACCACACAGCAGTCGTCGCCACCACCACAAGAGCCGACGCAAGTCCGACCATCACCACAGAGGACGCCACCGCCACCGCCGCCGACATCGCCATCACCGCCACTCCAAACATCACAGCACAACCCGGCGACGGCGTTCGCCTTCAACATCCACTTACACATCCAGCCTTACGCCATCCCGCAGTCGCTCACCACCACAACCCATTGATTTACGCCCTAACACTGAACACACCAACCCAGACCCCTCTCAATTTCCCACCACAGCCGTCCTCCGTCGCCCAATCAACCGTTGGCGACCTCCACCCAACTTTCACACCTTTACACCTGCAGACCAAATCCTGGAATGGCTCGAATTCCACGCCACCCAACTCGACAATCCCAACCGACCACAACACCAGTACATTGCCAATATCCTCACAGACTGCAACATCACCTACAAGGAGATCACCGATTTCCGACAATATACCCACGCCAAGTGGAACGACACAACTCACCAATACAACCAATTCCAGTACTACGCCATTTCACTTCCCTTCCTCAACACCAAAGCCACTACACCAGAGCCACCTGCGGTTTCCCGCGCCACATCAACCCACCGGGAAGTCGCCCACATCAACGCAGGCCACACAGGCCCCGTCGGCAACATTTCCAACATTCTACGCCAAGGCCGATTTTTACCCAGCACACTCCACTTTGCCAACTACCCTGGATTTTTTGCCCAGGGCGTTCGCATCACCCACAACCAACCCCATGACCACAACGAACTTGCCCGCATCATCCACAACACCTGGCAACTCCACAAGAACTCCCATTCCCTTATCATCACACTCCTTGCTTGGGGTGCTGCCACAAAATATACCTCCGGAGGTGAGGAACACGCCATGAACCTCCTTAACGACCACCATGGTGCAGTCTTTCATCAGAAGGGCCGCTGCTGGGTGATCCACCCGGACCACGCCATTGTCAAAGGACTGGCCTGGTCCACAAACTCCACTCCACCGGACACATAACACCACTATCCCACATCTACACACCACTACCACCTCCACATCCACTTTTGGTCTCACACCACCACCTAACCTTTGCTCGTAGCAGCCAAAAAGAGCCTCCTGCAGCGGCCACGCGAATTTTGAACCCTCAATTTTTTCAAGCTCTGCAGTGTTTGCTGTAAACATTTTTCTTCAATTTATACCGGCTGTTCTGATGGAGTTTTTCACATGTCAGATTCTCATGTACTTGACAGTCCAACCGGCATTGCATTTTCGTACTTTGCCTGTGGAAATTTGACGCTCGCTTAATTCATATGCACGGCCTCGTGATGATGCGCTCCCTCAGACTCGCCGCTGTCCGGCTGCTCTGGCGCGCTGCTGCAGCAACCCGTGACGATTCCGTGCTATTGTACATCCCTACATCTCCGAACCATGAGCAGCACACCGACACCTCTGCGCAACGACACCTCAACTCTCATACACAGAACCACAGTGGTACTTTCGCAGCTGCAGAACCTGCTCAGACAAGCAACCGATAGTGTAGCACACCTCCACACTCAGTTCCTCCACCATATCCACCAAGCGGATCCCACTTTCCGCCAACACTTTCAGCCACTTCCAACCCCGCCCAACCACCCTATACGTTTACCATCTACTACCTCATCTTGTGACTCAGCACCATCCAGACCACCCCTCCGTTTACCAGCACCACCCTCAAAAGACTCAGACGACAACACCCCCAGATCCACAACCCACCACAACACGCAAGCGGAAGCAACCACCCCCACCACCACTGAACCAACAGGCGGACTGGGATGCTTGGGACGGCGACGCCGACTGTCGCCTGGTCGAACTCAAAGAAAACCCCAGACTTCGTCCCAACTGGACCACTGTGGCTCGCCGAGTGGGCTTCTCCGTAGAGCAACGCCAAGCCCGATGGCAAGAACTCAAAGACATGCAACGTCAGCAGGACCAGCAACTCTTCTCCACACCACTACCAACCGCACCACCAAGACAAGCACCTTCCCCATCACCAACACCCACATCACCAGCAGTTTCCCCAGCACCACATTCACAACCAGATTTCTCCCCTTCCCCCATAACAACGCCACCGACTTCACCACATCAAACGACTCCTGCTGCTGTGCTGCTGCCGCCGGCCGCTGAGCGAGAACTTAGTGAAGACAGTCATCCGGAGAAATCTCCACTTACGCCCGTTGGCAGTTATTTCATTTGACCCGTTTCACCCACCTCTCTTTACGGCGTGCCGCAGGACAAATCCACTGACGTGCACTGACATTTAGTTTTTCACGCCCAGTCTACTTTCACCAGGTTGCCCAACTTCGATTTGTCAGTTTTCAGGCTCACTTCAGCTCCGCAGCCTTTTGTGCGCCATTTTATTCCATCAATTGTCATGGCCAATCCTCGCGCTCGCCCTCATAACAACACCGCCGACACAGAACACTACCTCCCACAGCGCCCTCCGAGCTGGCTCCAACCTTCGATTGGCACTCAGCCCGACTTTCAATCCCTCAACGGCTCTTTGGACCTCCTCTTTCTGGTCAACCAACACCTCCGCCATCACCCATTTCACACTGAACCTATGCCAAGCCAGACCTATTTTCAAGACCAGAGAGCATACAACCTCCTTTACCGAATGCGCGGTGACCTGATCTTGCTGGACCGCCTGATCGATAACCTCTCCCAGGCTCGTCGGCTCCTTCAATTTGTTACCACCGGCCCCGGGCTCCCGGGACAATACCGCATCAACCCCACAGCCACACTCTCCAGCAGAAACCTGGCCATTCTACACGACATACCGCCAGGTTTTCCACTACCACCCGGACTTTCCAGCCGTTCACCCTCTCCCTCACCACGTACCCCACCACAAGACGCCGAACGCCTACACTCATACTGGACAGGTCCCCCACCACAAGCCACCCCGGCCACCAACATCAACACTACCACTCACACCAGGGAACGTTCACGGTCCCGCGACAACCTCTCACACCGCAGTGGCTAACTACAGCAACATCCAACCTCAGGCTCTACGGCAGCCGCTACGCAGTTTGCCAACTATGAGACGGCATCCCTGCCCACGGCTGCTGCTACATTTTGTTTTTCAAGTCTCACTGATTTTCTCGGCGAGCGGCAAAACTCAGCCATCCAACAGAACTACTACTTTTCACACTCACACTGTTTAATGGTTTTTCACATTTGCTTGCCACCATTTTTTCTGCAGCCATTTGACCGAACTGTTTCTTCATAACCGCCCGTCCTTTCTACGACATGATGCCTCGCGATGATCTACGAACTCCA